TCTATCTATCAAACAGCAATCAGCAATTATAGCACAGAAGCACACACGAGAGAAAGATACGCCCCAACAGGGCCTCTTCTTATTACAGGCTCTTAAAGTGATACCAGCCCAAAAATCTTGCCAACTCATTCTTAGCATTACATCATTGTAGCAGCTCTTTAAATCGTTCCCCGGACATAAATACTAAATGTAGAATGAAGGTAACATGCTCTAACCGCTTCTCTCCTGGGTCCAGGTGGTTTTTCGCAATGCCTTGGAGATCGGATTCCTGGCTGGACAATACTTCCTGTACGGGTTCAACGTGCCAGCTATTTTCGAATGTGACCGCTATCCGTGCGTTAAGGAAGTGGAGTGCTACGTCTCCCGCCCCACCGAGAAGACCGTCTTCCTGGTTTTCATGTTTGCCGTCAGCGGCATCTGCGTCCTGCTCAACCTGGCTGAGCTAAACCACCTGGGCTGGCGGAAGATCAAGACGGCCATCCGGGGAGTGCAGGCCAGGCGGAAATCCATCTGCGAGGTGCGGAAGAAGGACCTCTCCTCCCTGGCCCAAGTGCCTACCTTGGGGCGGACTCAGTCCAGCGAGTCCGCTTACGTCTGAGTGGGCCAAGCAGACACCGCCAATGCAAAACAAAAAACAAAACCGACAACGACAAAACTGACCGTTGTACCTGCCAGGTTAACCATTCAATATCATCAATGGGTGCTTTTCAGGCCCCTTCCTCTGTCGTGGGGGGGGGGTGAAGAGGAGGAGGGGGCTTCCAAATCGCTTTCAAGGCCGGTGGGAGACATCCAGCCAAGAAAGAGGGGTCTCCCCTTTTTCCACTCCCCACCACCCTCAGGCCGGCTGGCTTCTGATGAATCTCCTCTACACACACACACACACACACACACACACACACACAAATCATGGTGCAAGCAGTCATCAGATGCATGAAAACTTGTGCCTAGGACTTCTTTGTACGGACCGGGGCAGGATGGGGGCATGGAAAGGTAGCATTTGAGACGCAAGCCAGAGAACTGGCTTGCTTGTTTTTGGGGTAGGGTTTTTAAAAATTGATTTATTTTATTTTATTTTATTTTATTTTGCAAGAAAAGAGCAAAGAAGGGAGGCAGAAAAAAATATAGAGAGATTTCGGGGGG